GATAAATGCTTGAAAATCAAACGGCATTACAAATCTAAGAGACAATCTTGCATAGCATCACAGGATGGTTCATCTTCATCTGATAGCCAAGAAAGCCCTGATGGTAATAGATTTTATTCAAAAGTAAATCTGGTATGGAGAAAATTACAGGCCTTAATGATGAGAATTGTCTGCTTTTCCCTGCAGCCACCAACCAGATTAAGACTTTCAGAATCCAACTTCATTTTTTAGCAGGTTTTATTCTGATTAGTGGCTTCATCAGCACACAAACTTCTTAGAATGGACACTTAGTCCCATATGTCCATATACAGTCAGGTCCATAAATAATGGGACATCAACACAATTCTAACATTTTTGGCTCTATACACCACCACAATGGATTTGAAATGAAACCAACAAGATGTGCTTTAACTGCAGACTGTCAGCTTTAATTTGAGGGTATTTACATCCAAATCAGGTGAACGGTGTAGGAATTACAACAGTTTGCATATGTGCCTCCCACTTGTTAAGGGGCCAAAAGTAATGGGACAATTGGCTTCTCAGCTGTTCCATGGCCAGGTGTGTGTTATTCCCTCATTATCCCAATTACAATGAGCAGATAAAAGGTCCAGAGTTCATTTCAAGTGTGCTATTTGCATTTGGAATCTGTCGCTGTCAACTCTCAAGATGAGATCCAAAGAGCTGTCACTATCAGTGAAGCAAGCCATCATTAGGCTGAAAAAACAAAACAAACCCATCAGAGAGATAGCAAAAACATTAGACGTGGCCAAAACAACTGTTTGGAACATCCTTAAAAAGAAGGAACGCACCGGTGAGCTCAGCAACACCAAAAGACCCGGAAGACCACGGAAAACGACTGTGGTGGATGACCGAAGAATTCTTTCCCTGGTGAAGAAGACACCCTTCACAACAGTTGGCCAGATCAAGAACACTCTCCAGGAGGTAGGTGTATGTGTGTCAAAGTCAACAATCAAGAGAAGACTTCACCAGAGTGAATACAGAGGGTTCACCACAAGATGGAAACCATTGGTGAGCCTCAAAAACAGGAAGGCCAGATTAGAGTTTGCCAAACGACATGTAAAAAAGCCTTCACAGTTCAGGAACAACATCCTATGGACAGATGAGACCAAGATCAACTTGTACCAGAGTGATGGGAAGAGAAGAGTATGGAGAAGGAAAGGAACTGCTCATGATCCTAAGCGGTAGTGTCATGGCGTGGGCATGTATGGCTGCCTATGGAACTGCTTCTCTTGTATTTATTGATGATGTGACTGCTGACAAAAGCAGCAGGATGAATTCTGAAGTGTTTCGGGCAATATTATCTGCTCATATTCAGCCAAATGCTTCAGAACTCATTGGACGCCGCTTCACAGTGCAGATGGACAATGACCCAAAGCAGACTGCAAAAGCAACCAAAGAGTTTTTTAAGGGAAAGAAGTGGAATGTTATGCAATGGCCAAGTCCATCACCTGACCTGAATCCAATTGAGCATGCATTTCACTTGCTGAAGACAAACCTGAAGGGAAAATGCCCCAAGAACAAGCAGGAACTAAACACAGTTGCAGTAGAGGCCTGGCAGAGCATCACCAGGGATGAAACCCAGCGTCTGGTGATGTCTATGCGTTCCAGACTTCAGGCTGTAATTGACTGCAAAGGATTTGCAACCAAGTATTAAAAAGTGAAAGTTTGATTTATGATTATTATTCTGTCCCATTACTTTTGGTCTCTTAACAAGTGGGAGGCACATATGCAAACTGTTGTAATTCCTACACCGTTCACCTGATTTGGATGTAAATACCCTCAAATTAAAGCTGACAGTTTGCAGTTAAAGCACATCTTGTTCGTTTCATTTCAAATCCATTGTGGTGGTGTATAGAGCCAAAAATGTTAGAATTGTGTCCATGTCCCAATATTTATGGACCTGACTGTACTTGTGATTCTGGGTGTCAACCTCAGACTACTGGTTTGATTGTCTAAATAAAGTTGTAAGATAACTTTGAATTTTTAAAGCATATGATGGTTCCAGACAGTTCTGGGTAAATTGTATTTTTATATACTTTTCAGCAAGGGCTTAATCTTAACCAATGATAGTTTAACTCAGTAGGCATTCTAGTATTAAAGTGATTATAATGGTTTCTTTAATAACAAACATTGGGGTATATTTACTAAAACCGGTGTACTCAGAATCTGGTGCAGCTGTGTATGGCTGCTAACGTCAGCTTGTACAATTAAGCTTTGGCAATAAAACCTGGAAGCTGATTTGTTTCTGTGAAGAGTTGCACCAGATTTTGCAGTCTCCAATTTTAGCACATAACCCCCATTGTTTACTTACCTGCTCTGTGCAATGTTTTTGCACAGAGCAGCCCTTAACCTCCTCTTCTGAAGTCCCCCGCTGCCACTCTGAGCTCCTCCTCCTCCCTTCTGAGTGCTCCCATAGCAAGCAGCTTGCTATGAGGGCACTCATGTGGGTTCTATCCCGAGCCAGGCTTTGTGCATCTATTCAAACACACTGCTTGAATTGGCCCACCCATCCCCCCACTCTCTGCTCACAGGTTTCGACTGATAGCAGTGGGAGCCAATGGCTCTCTCTGCTCTCAGCCAAGCCTGTGGAAACAGGGAGAGAAGAGGAGAAGAGCTGCTGCAGATGCAAGATTGGGCTCACGCAGAAACAGTGTTACAGAAGTCAAATAAGAAATACCTTCAACAGAAAAACATGAAAAAAAAGCTCCATTTTTCTGGGTGAATAGAAGACTACAGAATATTTATTATAAAATGATTATCATATTTCATAATTTAAAGAAATTATGACAATAAATGAATACAAAATCATTATATGTTTTATACAACTAATCAAGGTTTCAAACTAGTGCAGATATTATTCTCTGCCACTGAACAAGAAACCATGAAGATGTTAACAGTTTTTTTTATTTAAAGAAAATTCAACGCTGTCTTGGCACACCACTAATACTTTATTGACTGACACTATAGAGGTACACACCAGGTTTTTCCTAAGCAGTCCAGATGTGATTTCTCCTGCGCTCTAGGGCCCAGACCGGTGGCAAATAGATGGAACCAACACCAGAACAGGCGACCACCAGTATATTTCAAGGTTGTGCAGCTCCAAACCAGGGCTGGGGAAGCCCGATCGATACTGCAAAGTGAAACAAAAAACAAGAAGCGCACCAATCTTGCGCATTACCGCAGTAACAGAATTTATTAATAGAAGATAGGTATTCCCAAACAGCACATAAAATCAGGCATGTAGTCCTCAAAGGGACTTCAAAGATAAGAAGCCAGCGCAAATCCCTTCATGGGGGTAGACACTCAGTATAACTGACGCGTTTCGAAGGCTATGCCTTCTTCCTCAGAGCTCAAGCAGGGTTTGTATGTGAGATTCACTTCCGACCTGCAATTTGTGAACTTTTAATAAATGATATTTGGCTTATTATCCAACAAAATAGGCATTAACCCACAACGGACAATCAGAAGTCAACTCTGAAGAATATAAAGTAATCTGAAATCTGCTGTAGGTTACAACACATTTATGCTTGCTTATTGCACTATTTATTGAATAACCTAATGTATCTTATTCGAACAGCATAATTAAATCTTGCATTAAGAACCATTATTATTGGTGTGGAGTAAAGATTGTTTTCCTATTTGAGAATTTTCATCAGTTTTTTTTTTTACCTTGTATAAGTGGTAAGACTGGCACTGTGAGTGTTGGTGCATTGTATACATGCTCATAGAGTAGGAGCGCTCTATAGACTAGGAGTGCATGTGTGATGTTTTTTTTTTTTTTCCCCATTTATACACCATATCTATATTCATACTCAACTCAAAATGTACAGTGTCAAGTTTCTTCTTCGTGAAACATTTTTTTAGCATACATATAGCTTTTCCTGTCTAATGATGAAAGACTGTTGGTGTTTTGACATTAATTGACTGGAATGCGTAATTTATTCAAAGAATCCTAACGGATTTAAACTGTCATTATTTTCACCTTCATAATCATGTAAATAAATGCAAGCAGAAACTAGAAATAAATTGAAGTAGGTTATTAAAAGCAAACTACATTTACATTAAATATTATTTTCAGTGTCAACTAATGATGATACAAATATGCTGAATACCTTTGGTATATGACCAACTAATGTGTACAGTGAAGGAAATAAGTATTTGATCCCCTGCTGATTTTGAATGTTTGCCCACTCACAAAGAAATGTTCAGTCTAAAAATCGAATGGCAGGTGTATTGTAACACAGAGACAGAATAGCAACAAAAAATGTAAAAGAAATTCATGTCTAACTAATTATGCACTGATTTGCATGTGATGTGAGGGAGCTGTGATATGGGGGTAGCAGTGATGTGAGGGGGAGCTGTGATATGGGGGGTCTGCAATGTAAGGGGGAGATGTGATATGGGTGGGCTGTGATGTGTGGGGGAAGCCGTGATATGATGGGCTGTGATGTAAGGAGGAGATTTGATGTGAGAAGGGAGATGTGATATGGGGGGGCTGTGATATAAGGGAGAAGCTGTGATATGAGGGCTGTGATGTAATGAGAGAGCTGTGGTTTAAGGGGGGGCTGGGATGTGAGAGGGGGGAGCTATGATTGAAAGGGGGCTGTGATGTCAGGAGGGGGTGTTGCTGTGATGTGGGGTTTGTGATTGCAAGGAGGACTGTGATATAAGCAGGACTTTAATGTTGGGCGACTCTGATGAGAAAGGGAGTTGTGATGTAAGGGGGCTGTGATGGGAAAGCCCCGAGTCATAGAAGAAAAATGAGATTTGGACCTCTGCAGAAAGAAAATGTTACTAACCGGACCTTCGTGAATTTTAATTCAGTATTCCTGCCATAAGTGCTCTTTTTAATCTGAGCTCTCACACGTTTACCTTGCATATTGATATCTATGTTTCTGCTTTGTATTAAAATACTTAATGCAAATAACTGTGCCAGAAAATAGAAATTATAATAACACAAGAAATAACTCTCTCATTAGACCTGGTGATGACAAGCCGCAGCTTTTTAAAGTCTCAAAGCACTTCTCAGCCTATTGAAGAAGTAGAAGAAGAGAATCATATTGAAGAAATGCAGCAATCTATACAAGATCAGCTGGTTACATCCATAGAGAAAGACAGCTTGGAAATTGATGGTAAGTGCGTTATAAAACTGAATCTTGCAACAACTTGCCTCATATTGAATGCAATGGTAAGTAAGAGTAAAGTAAAGAGTAATTGGCTATTGGGCCATTTAAATTAAGATTTTTTTCTGTGGCGCCATTTATATTTATTATTAATGGTAAGCAAGTTCTGAATGCAGAAAGGAACAACAGACCAAAACTTTACATTTCATTGTTTTCGCACACTGCCTCCTACCCTTTATTTAATAAACTGGTCAATGTTTTATATACGAATATACCACTGTTCCAGGTGATGGGCTTGTAGCTGTTGTCATGTCAACTAATGGCATATATACAAACTTTAACAGCCTATTTACAGGTTAGGGCATGATTTCTCATAAGCTTTCTTATCAGCTTCCAGCACATGGCAGCAGGAGTCTAGTGTCTTTTTAGCAGTATTTTCCTAAGGTGCTCAGGTGCTTGTAATGTAATCCTATTGCAAAGAAGAAGGAAAGAAAAAGATGTGATTTTTGAATCTGGTTATTTTATACACATATTATCTAGTCTGTTTTGACAGTGTATATGATTGTTCTATTCAATTGCATATCTAATCTTTTAGCTCAGTGTTTTGAGCAGAATGAAGTCTGTTAGAATAAGCAGTGCTGTATACGTTAGTACAACCTTCATACAGAACTCTAAACGTTTGTGTCAATGAGGATGAGATTCTGCTGTTAGGGGCAAACACAGACCATAGGCTATTTGGAGCAACTACGGAAGATCACTGCCCGGGGCAAATAAATATCCATGACCCTGCAACAGAAAAATACAGCGCTGCTGACGTGCTGTGGGACTTAAACATTTGCAAGTATTCACTCACTAAGCATTACAGCTGGTCCCTAAACTGAAAAAAATTGTTGCAGTCTTCTCTTCATTCCCTTGCAAAGGCCTGCAAGTACCTGTTGAGCCTGCCAGTGAAGGTCCTACCTAATGTGGCTTCTTGTGATGGTGTGGCAATGACACTACACTGCTCCTGAATTCAGAGCAGATTTCCAGCTTTCACTACAGTGTGATGAAAATAATCTACAAGGGCATTACTACCAGTTGTCATTGCTGATTCAGCATGTATGAAGCTTGTATGTCAACAGTCAGCACCTAGCCACACAATCTCCTGCCCACTGCTTTCTGGATTTAAAGCACTGCCTCTGTTCTGAAACTTCCCACTGTGAGCTGCAGTGTCTAGGAGAGGGAACCAGTGAGACACAAATTAGTTTTTTGTTTACTTTGAGGCTTGTGCATCATATAACTGGATTTTTTACTTGTTTAGAATATTATGCAGGAGCCTTTATTACACTTCTAAGAAGAGTTATTGTAATGTTAATGGCACATTAAAAAAAATCCAACAGTGCCACCCTTTTTTTTTTTTTTTTTTTTTTTTTAAACAAAACATGTCATACTTGCCTGCTCTGGGCAGTAGTTCTGCACACAACTGCCTCTTTTTTTTTTTTTTTTTTTTCACGTCCTCTGCCGGCACTCCTCCCTCTCAAGCAGTGCCCCCAGAGAAAGCTGCTTGCCCTGGGGGCTCCCCTGCATGCTCTATGCATCCATAAGACACATTAAGCTGCAGATCGGCCCCCACTCTCCTCATTGGCTCACTGGCTGTGATTGACAGTAGCGAGAGGCAAAGGCCTCCCTCTGCTGTCTCAGCCAGCAAAGAGGGAGAGTCTCTATACAGCTGAGGCCATCATGCACATCACTGGATTGGAGGGGGCTCAGATAGAATGCACGAAGGTTAAAAAAAAAACCGCTTGCGCCTTTAGAACCACTTTAAAGCTGAAGTTCTGTCTGCTTATGTTTTGCCTTCCCTGGTACCTTTTTTTCCCCACTCATTAACAATTTATTTTTAATCATAATTATTATATACCTTATTTTTGTCCAAGTGATTTAATCACTGAGTCTCTGTGAGTCTGTTTAATACAGGTAGATTGTGGCCAATTGGAGGGGCCAGTATGGTGCAGTACATAGCTTACTGAAAACATCACATCACCCTCCCTTAGTACTCCTCTTCCTAGGAGCCCTTAGCCATGATGCAAGCAGTGGGCTGGCTTTTAAAAGGAGTTATTCAAATCTCAAAATGAATTTATGGGTGGATGTCAATCTGGAGAAGGCGTTCCTAGGCAGGCTGCATTTTCATGACGGCTGCCCTAGGTAATGCCCACATGTGATGGTGAGCCTCCATGATTGAAAAATACCTTTTACAGTGAATGAAACGGCTGGGCCAAGGAGAGTAGGGCTGTGAAGGAAATAAGTAGGTGATTCTTTACATTGTCCAGCCACGAAATAAAGCTGGCTCCATCCAACTTGAGGCAGCAAGCAATTTATCAGTACAGGGATGATGCAAGACTGAGAGTAAGGCTGGAGTGCAGCTTTAATTGTGCAGCAAAACCATTTGTTGCTCTCTTTGCAGAACCATAAACATTGATGCAATCCCACATTTCTGTATGTGCCTCCCACTGAATGCTTTTGTTCGTTCTGCAGGCCCCTCTGCCAGTATTGTGTACTATAATGATGTAGCAGCTGGCTGGAGGGACCACACATCTGAACAGGGGACATGCTAGCCGACACAACTGAGAGTTTATGATAGTGGTGATGCTCATAGCTCTGCAAGAGAATGAAGATTTCACTTAAAGGATAAGTTCACCTTTTTTTTTTTCTTTCTAAATTCCAGCTCCCCTATGTACCAGTATAGCATTAATGTACTTATTTTGCAGAAAAGAAAAAAAAAAGCTTTTTATTTATCCTTAACAGCCCTTATCTCAGTGCCCAGCTTGTTGTATAAAGAAAACGTCTCTATTACATCCTGGACAGACTTTGGGACATGAAAACTGTTAGAGCTAATTCACACCAGTGTGTTGATATGCGATTTAGCGCAGCTGTGAAACGTAGATCAAATGAAGGACATCTGAAAAACAATAATTTTCCAATGTGTCCTATTCACACCATAACGCTGCATTGACCTGAGTTGCATAGGATATCCTGTGAAAATGCAGTCCGCTTTGACAACCGCTAAAATGCATATCAACTGATGTTAACATGTATGTCAATAGACGTTGCCATACAGTTAAAATGCATGGAAATGTACATCCATTTTCCATACAATTTTAGCGCAAGTCAGTGTAAATTGGACCTTAAGACACAGGAAGGAGTTCATCAGCTGACCTGACTAGCACACACTCTACAGCTGCCTTCCCCTTCCAAGAGATGGCTCCCACTCACCTCCTCAGTTGCATATTTTTTCCAGTGCAATCAATCGGTGATCACTGTCCTCAATAAATATACAGGCATCAATTTTTTTTTTCTTTACCTTTCTTTTATCTTGCGTAGATCGTTCATTTGGCAGTGTGCAGGAGCTGATCGATAAGATAACCTATGTGATTAAGAGCTGTAGTAGTGAAAACAGGAGAAGTGTGTCCTGGGTTATGTAAAGCTCACCATACACTATACAATCTAATTGTACACTTTCCTTTTAGATCTACCATCAACTTGTAGAGCAAGGGCCTGCCTGATTGTAAAAATGGTGTCTCCCCCTATTATATAGTTTTGGTAAATCTAAAGGAGATTGTACAATTAGATTGTATAGTGCCTGGCCACTTTTATACACCTAAAATGAACTAGTTGCTTTTTCAGTGCCATTAATTGCTAATGGCACACCAAACGCGTAAGTAAACATTTTGCCATGTGAAAAAGCAAGTGACAAATGCAGCAAAACGCACAGTAAAAAAGTGCAACCCGCATCATGCCAAAATGTCCAATGAGTTACGTTGCCATTTGTAGGGCAGCCTGTTGAAATCAACGGACTGCCCTATGCGTTTCACGGGAAAAACTAGCCAAAACACGTGCGCACTCTCTATGCTAGGTGTGAATGGGGCTTGAAACTGAAATTGGTTAATTTACACAAGGACAGTGTGGCTCCATTCAGATCTGTGGGTTTCTAAAATGCAGAGAAAATGTGCACTTTGCCTTGCATTTCAGAAACGCGCTGAAAACGCACCAAAAATTATGGGGTAAAAAAATGCTTCACATTTTCAAGTGAACGGCTGCCCTATGCATGACGAGCAAAAGCGCTCCAAAACACAAAAAGAACAAACAAAAATAACGCATGCAAGAATGAGAGTTCCTACAACAAATAGATGTGAACAGGGCCTGCCAGCTGAGTGTCTCCATCCATTCCCTCCTATGTACTTGTATAAAACTGGTCATAGTAATACAATCTCTGTACAATTTCTTTTCGATTTACCAGAAACTATGGAATAAAAGGACCCACCTGAACAATCCTATTCAATTTATATCAAATCAGACAGGCCCTTGAACTACATAGTTGATGTAAATCTAATTGTTCAATCAGGTTGTACAGAAAATGGATAGAAGGTGGTATAGTAATGAGGGAGGTGTGGTCCAGAGCGGTGAACACGTTCTTTTCTGTGATGCAGCAAGGCAGTGCATTCTAGGATTCAAAGCTTCCTGAGTGTTACATGATTTACAGAAAGCGATGGAAAACTTCTTTTTCAAACACTTACGAAATTTCAAAGCTTCCATGGATGAGGTAGCGAGAGATAAGCACGTTGGGATGGTTGGGCCAGAAATAACAATAGAAAATACTTCTATTTATTATGAAAAGAGAAATTCGGTCCGAAAAGGTGAACGTCGCCTTTAACCACCTGCTGAACTGGTAAATATTCAGTTATTTATTTTACAGCGTGGCAGAGTTTGATTATTCTTTAGGTAACACTGTTGCTAGGTTATAACTCTCTTTTTTGTTCAATGAAGGGCATATTTCTACATATTTGCAAAGTGAGTTTTGATCACGAACCGTAACATACTTTACAAAAGATCACTCAAACAATTTCAAAAACAACTGTAGAAACAGATGTTAAACAACTTTATCTTCATGACAATACCAACAACACTGGCAATGAATCTCCTTCATGGCCATCATTTTTCTAAATGGCCTTGAAATGAAGTAAAGGTTGATGGTG